CCTTTTTTCATATCTAGGTGTGAGGTGCTGCGGTGGTGCAGGGAATACACTTTTTCCAGGTCTTTGGACATTTTCCCACAAATATACTGAAGTCAGGCTTTGAGAGGGGCTACAGGCCAGAGCCTTTGTCTCCCTGGCTGGCCCTAACACAGCTTTGAACTCTTACATTTGTACACCGCTGCAATTTGTGGTTCTTTCCTGTGGACCCTCGGATATGAATGCAAGATCTGGGGATCACAACCTGACCACTGGGTTTAGAGACCAGCGACTATCATTGATTCACAGCCGCCTCTTTATGTCACTCATTTTATTTTGTTCAATCGTTTGATTTGTTACAACTGTTTTGATTTCAGAGGAAGTTCCTTAAATATCACTTAGGCTAAGTTTTAACCTTTACAAACATTTTTTTTCCTTTTCACATGATTTAATGTGTTTCATGAAAAATTATTTTTTGTCTTTTTTTTTTGCAGATGATGCAGTTGTGTTTGCTTCGTCAGATTGTGACTCTAGCAGACTTGCAGCTGAGTGGGAGAGTGAGATTCAGGACTTCCAAGTCTGAGAGCATGGTGCTGAGTCATTTATATTTAAAAGAAGACTACTTTATTAATCCTACGAGGGGAAATTACTTTTACAATCGCGGGTCAGCACCTTCAAGTCTGAGGCCATGGTTCTCTGCCAGAAATGTTGGATCGCTCCCTCCGGGTGGGCAGTGAGTCATTGCCCTATGTGGAGGAGTTGGTAGCTCGGGTTCTTGTTCACAGTGAGGTTAGAATGGACCGTGAGATTGACAAATGATTGGGGAAGCATCAGCAGTAATGTGGGGTTGTGTCGGACCGTCATGGTGAAGGGGGGAATGAGCTGAAGCCAAAGCTCTCAATTTACCAGTCGATCTTTGTTCCAAACCTCACCTGTGGTCCTGAGCTTTGGTAGTGACCAAAAAATGAGATTGCAGATACAAGCAGCAGAAATTAATTTTCTCCAGAGAGTTTCTGGGCTCAGCCTTAGAGATAGGATGAGGAGCTCATATTCCAGGGGAGCTCAGAGTAGAGCCGCTACTCTTTCACATCGAAAGAAGCCATTTGAGGGGGTTCAGCATCTGATCACGATACCTCCTGGACGTCTCTTTTATGGTTTTCCAGGCCAGTCCAACTGGGAGGAGACTAGAGCTCACTACAGGGATTATATTTCCCATCTGGCCTGGGGACTAGGATCCCAGGAGGAGCAAAAGAAAGTCAGGATGTCTGCAGCAACTTTGTTGCCTGCTGCCACCGGACCTGACCCTGGATAAGCGGAAGATAATGGATTGATGGATGGATATCACGTTTTATCATTATCACAATATGGAAAAAAATGTTTTACTTTTTTTTCTCATGTAGTCCTGGCTGAATCCAAATCTGCACCTTCTGGACAGTGTCCCCCGACCCTAACGAAACAGAACAAGTCCTGCACAAGCCTCTGCTGCACTCTGCTGGACTAACATCTAAAACACCTCTTCACTCTGTATGCTATGATGTCATTTCCTTTTAATGTGAATAAGCATTTCATTAATTAAGTATTCTGTATTTCACATATGTTCACAGCTTTTTTAAAACTCCTTTTCCTATTAACCTTCAGGTCTGTCAGTTAGAACTTAGTAAGGCACTGTGTGTATTTGTTCTGTCCTAATCTTCAGGTAGTACACTGTAGGTTAGGTTCAGGTTAGTTTAATTGTAAAGTGTGGAAACAAATTTATGAGGAATCAAAGCTGTTCAAATTGAATCATCAAGTTAGGACTCTGATCCTGATCTGCGAGCTGCGTTCTTTCTGTGAATTATACCTGCAGACTTTCCAGAGGGACTTGTCCACAGTTCACTGGGAATAAATGACATGAAAAGTTTTGAATGACTTTGTTTTTCCACACAACGTTAAAGACACTTCTTCAGATTCTGGTGTAAATTGTCTTTAGGTCCTGACAGACATTAATAACTCATGTTCTCTGAAAAGGAACAAAGAGAATCCATCATCTGGATCAGTTTGTAAGTCTGTAAAAACTTCAACCAATGTCTGCCACGAGGTACCAATCTGATGAACCATGACGCTCCCGTCTGCTCGTCTCTACCCCATGGCGTGTTCTAGCCCAAACTCAAAGCACGAGCTGAGGTCGGCTTCTGGACCAATGGCGCTTGTGTATGTAAGTGAGGGGGCGTGGCTTTAGAGGGAGCACAGAGGGGAGGGGTGCAGACGGAGCACTGAGGGAATGCTACTTTCAAAATCATGCTAGTTTTAGAAATGACCAACAGCCTTTAAGTGTCAGGAAACTGTGCAGAGACTCAATATTCAGCTAATCAGCCACTAAGGGAAGAATTCAAACTAGTTCAAGTACTGGTGGGGGCGGCAGTAGCTCAGCCTGTAGGGACTTGGGTTAGGAGGGGGGTTGCCGGTTCAGGAGCAGCTCAGGAGCCCCCCCCCCCGTCAGGATCCTGTTTGTGTGTGTCGCATATTCAGTGACAGAGTGGAACTTTTTATTTCCCCTCTCGGGATCAATAAATATATCTTCTTCAACGTGTTTCATTCTTGAGATTTGTATTATTTTCATTGATAATAAAATGAAAGGAATAAATGATAAATATATGTTTTATATGTTTTATATGTTTTATATGTTTTATATGTTTCATATTTTGACACTGGGAGATGTTTTCTTCATGAAGCTTCTGTGTTCAGTGGAGAGCCGGGAGGCAGCTTTAGGTTTCTGTGTCTGAGGTGTTCAGAGGAGCAGGTAAACCACTTTAACTCATCCTACATCTGTTTGTGTGCAGCCACAGGGCGTGGGACCTTTAACTCCTACAACGCTGCAGCTCATTGGTCAGCACGATCAGGTGGCCGCCAGCCATCCAATCACAAGCGTGGGTCTTGATATGTCAACGTCCGGGTTCTTTTCAGCAGGAAGAGTCGCCGCATCATAATTTCTGTCACTGTAAATGGATCCATAAATGTACTTTTATATTGACTTTACATTTTAAAAACAACAACCCCTGAGTCGTGACGTCACCTGTCACCTGAGAGGTAGATGACAGCTCCAGGTGAGGCGTGAGTCCGACGGTGGAGAAGCTAACTGCTAACGTTAGCCCGCAGAGAGGTGAGCCGACACAGCGGCTCACAGCGCTGCTCCGACCCCAGATAAGTGGCTCGAGAGGCGGCCTGTCGGAGGGACGACCCCCGCTGTCGGTCGCTCATCCCCGGGTCTGCAGCGTGAGGCGCGCCGGAAGTCCTGCTGAAATGTGACACTTTAACGCGTTCATGAGCACCTGAGCAGAAAAAACACCCTGCTAATCTGACTGAACACTTCTTAAAATTAGACAACTTTGTGCTTAATTCGGCGCCTTTCATCCTCCAGTTTATAATATTTAAAATCTTTAAATAACTGGAATAAAAGTGTGGATGAGGTGTTTGTCCACAGCAGGTTCAGGTTTGATTGAACATTAACATCAGTTCTTTAAGTGATGCTGAGCAGAGGAGTAGATCATCAGCTGTCCAAAATGCAGAAATCAAAGGTTGACCATGAACCGGTTCTGTTGCTCCATTTTCAATTCTTTGGTACTTTAAAAACCACGTGTTTCAAACTGACACAGTCTCTGAGTCAACCCGAACAGAAGCTTCAAACGTCTTCAGTCCACTGAGTTCACGTCGTGTATTGTGTAACCTCGTCATACTGTGACGCTGCTTTCTGTCATCGCCCGGCGCCGACGCTGTCTGTCACTGATTGTGAAGTCATGATCAGAAGAGAAAAGTGTTGCTGCAGGCCTGATGCTCTCTGAGTGTAGTGACATCTCAAACTGGACGTTTCCTGCTTTCACAGCGATGTGTGTGTCGCAGACTTCACATCGTTAAGTCTTTCAGATATCCTCAACCTTAAAGCAACAGAAAACGGGCGTGTTGGTCGATATTTTGACCCTGGAGCTCAGACGACCTCCGACTGATTGAAAAGAGTTTTTCGTTCATGTTTGAATGTTTGCTGTCTTCAGTTGCTTCGTGTATGGGTGACTGAAGAGCAGCCATGAGCGCGGAGCCGGACGCCCTGGCCGTGGTCAACCAGCTGCGGGACCTGGCCGCCGACCCCATGAACCGCAGGGCCATCGTCCAGGACCAGGGCTGCCTGCCAGGACTCATCCTGTTCCTGGATAACCCCAACCCTCAGGTCGTGTACTCCGCCCTCCTGGTGAGCTCACAGGTCATCCTTTGTTTGTAGTTTGTGTGCCGTCCCCCCTCACACCTGGAGAGTGCTGAGTCATAGTCCAGGTTTAGGATCAGTATTTTGGTACCATCACCCGGTTCTCTGCCCCCCCCCCCCCCCCCCCCCCTTAATCTGGCTGACTGTGATTGGTTGTTCCAGGCGATCCGTTACTTGGCAGAATGCCGAGCCAACCGGGAGAAGCTGAAGGGGGAGCTGGGGATGATGCTGAGCCTCCAGAACGTCGTGCAGAAGTGAGTCCTGATGTCACCGACTGTGACTGACCCCGACCGTGACCCCGACTGTGACCCCGACTGTGACCCCGACTGTGACCCCGACTGTGACTGACCCCGACTGTGACCCCGACTGTGACCCCGACTGTGACCCCGACTGTGACTGACCCGACTGTGACCCCGACTGTGACCCGACTGTGACCCCAACTGTGACCCCGACTGTGACTGACCCCGACTGTGACCCCGACTGTGACCCCGACTGTGACCCCGACTGTGACTGACCCCGACTGTGACCCCGACTGTGACCCCGACTGTGACCCCGACTGTGACCCCGACTGTGACCCCGACTGTGACTGACCCCGACTGTGACTGACCCCGACTGTGACTGACCCCGACTGTGACTGACCCCAACTGTGACTGACCCCAACTGTGACCCCGACTGTGACCCCGACTGTGACCCCGACTGTGACCCCGACTGTGACTGACCCCGACTGTGACTGACCCCGACTGTGACCCCGACTGTGACCCCGACTGTGACCCCGACTGTGACCCCGACTGTGACCCTGACTGTGACCCCGACTGTGACCCCGACTGTGACTGACCCCGACTGTGACTGACCCCGACTGTGACCCCGACTGTGACCCCGACTGTGACCCCGAGTGTGACTGACCCCAACTGTGACCCGACTGTGACCCCGACTGTGACCCCGACTGTGACCCCGACTGTGACTGACCCCGACTGTGACCCCGACTGTGACCCCGACTGTGACTGACCCCGACTGTGACTGACCCCGACTGTGACCCCGACTGTGACTGACCCCGACTGTGACCCCGACTGTGACTGACCCCGACTGTGACTGACCCCGACTGTGACCCCGACTGTGACCCCGACTGTGACCCCGACTGTGACCCTGACTGTGACCCCGACTGTGACCCGACTGTGACTGACCCGACTGTGACTGACCCCGACTGTGACCCCGACTGTGACCCCGACTGTGACCCGAGTGTGACTGACCCCAACTGTGACCCCGACTGTGACCCCGACTGTGACCCCGACTGTGACTGACCCCGACTGTGACCCCGACTGTGACCCCGACTGTGACTGACCCCGACTGTGACTGACCCCGACTGTGACTGACCCCGACTGTGACCCCGACTGTGACTGACCCCGACTGTGACCCCGACTGTGACTGACCCCGACTGTGACTGACCCCGACTGTGACTGACCCCGACTGTGACTGACCCCGACTGTGTGACTGCTGCACTGATGAGTTCTTCTAATGAGTAACTGGTCTCGTCCAGGTCGACGACTCCCGGGGAGACGAAGCTGCTGGCGTCTGAGATCTACGAGCTCCTTCAGGCGTCGGGCAGCTCCGACTCTGAGACAGCCGAGGAGACGGTCAGCAGCCGGCGTAAAGCCCAGTTCTTCCTGGGCTCGAGCAACAAGAGAGCCAAGACGGTCGTCCTCCACATCGACGGGCTGGACGACTCGGTGAGCGGGGAACAGTGGATGATGACATCACTCGGGGTTTTTCCCCAGAAACAAAAAACAGACCGCTATTCACTGATATGATGAGAATCATCTCAGAGAGCTTCTAGCTTAGCTGAAATATTCTTTCAGTTTATTTAATTATTAACCAAACAACAACACCTCAAATGAAGAAAAATCTTTCATAGAGACAATAATTAACATCATTAGAGAAGCTGCAGACCAACACTACTCACATCCCACTCGTAGTTCTTAAAGGACCAATCAGTGAGCTGTGTAGAGAGTGAGATGATAAAGGTATCTTACTATCTGATCATTAAGGAAACATGCTATGTTGAAGTGCTGGCTTCTCGACACACCCCCACACGGCCGTTTTGGACGCCCCTCGGTTTGTCAGATATGAGAGCAGTTATCAGGTCAACAGGTGTTGCAGCGATGGAAGCGGTCAAGAGAAGTGGTTCAGATAGAAGTGATTGTACCCGACCTAAAAAGCCTCTGCATGTTTCTAATAAGCTCCACGAGCAGAAACGTGCTCAAACTAGGATCAATATTGGAGATGCTTTTGAAAAATGGAGAGAGGTTAGAACACAGAAAGGTTTACAGACCCATGCAGAGCTGGATAAACACTGAAGCTTCAGAGTCCACCACATGGTGACCTGAGTGAGGGGGGGGGGAGACAGCTCTCTATGATGTTTAGAATTTAAACTGCAGTACCCATTTCAAACACCAGGGGGCAGAGTTACATACTGCTCCTTTGAGTTACAATTCAGTTAATGTCATTCAAAGAAGATCACTAAATGTTGTACCTGTCACAACAACACTGAACTTCTATCAAGGAGTCGTAGCTGAGGAGTGATTTGGAAACTCTGAGCAGAAACTTGAATGTGATTGTGGAGGCGTGCTCGACCTCGTCGTTAGGGATGACACATTCTTTCAAAGGCTGTGAAACCAGAAGTAAAAAAGAACATGAATCACTCTTTAGTGATTATGTAAGCCACACTTTAAAAGTTTACAGATTACAAAATGTTTGCTCTCACGCCCACGTGAGAGAATCCTCTTCACTGACTGATCGTTTGGTGATGTCTGTTTTTCTGCAGAGTCGGAGGAGTCTTTGCGAGGAGGCTCTGCTGAAGATCAGAGGAGTCATCAGCTTCACCTTCCAGATGACCGTCAAGAGATGCATCGTCCGGATCCGCTCTGACCTGAAGGCCGAGGTCAGACCAGAATCGGCCTCCTTACACGCCACATCTATTTTCATCACTTCAAAATCAACGAATCAGATTCATAAGATTCAGCTTTGTTTTAAAATCAGAGAGAGAGGGGAACGACATCGAGAGAGGAGCCGCACGCTCTGAGGACTACAGCCTCTGTACATGAGGCACGGCCTAACCACTAGGCCATCTGCGCCCCGATTAAGATTTAAAGCCTTAAAAAGAAGATAACGCTGTTTTTTAAAATAAAAATCACTTTATTTACGTTAAAGTAATTTTAAACTCCAACTTAGCTTCAGTGTAAGAGAGAAGTGGGTGACGGAATAATCCAGCTGATAGTCGAATGTTTTGTGTTTTCAGGCTCTGGCGTCTGCGATCGCGTCCACTGTGGTGATGACGGCTCAGCAGGTGGTGAAAGGAGAGAACGGAGACGAGGTGAGTGTGAGGCGTTCAGAGAGCGCCGCTGCTGTCAACGTAAATCCTGCTCTTCCTAGTTCTTCAATACGTCCGCTGAGTCAGGTTAAAGTAACAGGCGTGTGGACGTTAACCTGCAAGGAGGACTGTTAGCAATGCTAACGTTAGCCATTTAGCAAACCTATTGTACATCGTTTACAGACGGCCAAATTCAACCCACAATGCACTGCTGTTCGGTTCACTTCCCTCATACGGTTGGGATCATGAACACTTGGAAGCGAACCGAGACCCCCGTTTTGAGGCGGACCAGAGTTCAGTTCGTTTGAGCGTTCCCGATGAGGGATCAGGAAAGTTTATCGTTCAGAGTTTCCTGTGAGTCTGATGGAACTTTTCCTCCGCAGGTTTTGATCCCGTTTGCGGAGGACGGCTCGGTGGCGGTGGAGCAGAACGTGAACCTGCCGGACTACCTCCCCGAGGACGAGAGTCCGTCTCAGGAGCCCGACAAGGCGGTGACCCGGGTGGGATCCGGTCAGGACGGGGCCGGCTGGCTCGGCACCGCCACCAACTTCCTGTCCCGCTCCTTCTACTGGTGATCCTGCAGGCCCCGCCCCCCCATCTGTTACACCTCCCGCCTCCTCTCAGAACCAAAATCTACCAGCTGCCAAATGTCAGCTGTGTGTGTCGGCGGCAGAGACGGACACTGAGACAAACTGCAGTCAGAGACGAGCCGACCCCCCAGGACCGTGGATTCTGTCTAAAGTCTCCGTGTGAACACGACCCCCCCTCTGTTACCAAAATGTCTTAAGAGCAGCAACATGAACAAACCGAGGACCGAGCAGGACCAACCTTCTTCTTTATTTATTATTAACCACCAGACTGAGTGAAGTTCAGTCAGCTGTGCCTTCACCTCCTCGTCATCTATCACTTTAAAGAAAGATCCAAAACTCTGACAGATCTCAGCAGAGCGAGGCGTCGAGTAACATCATGTCTGATTCAGTGTTGGGCAGTAATAATATTCCAGTTACTCACACAAACCTTACTGTTGTTGTTATTACATCTGATTTAAAATACAACAAACCCCAGATTGATTTCGTCACGTCAGCCAGGCAGGACGTCAGCGAGCATCATGGTTACCAGGTTTAAAGTTTTCCTGTGGGGCTTCTTTTTAGGAGGTTGACTCTTTTTAGGTCGTTTTTTTTTTTTGGGCCATTGGGCTTTTTTTGTCAGTTGTTGTCACATACCTGGCAACCCTGGTTAGCATGGAAGATGGAAGCGCTCATGTTTACATTCAGCGGCCGGAAATATTCACACTACTTTAGTTATCTTGAGAGGACAGATGAAGAGAACATTGTTGTCAAATGTAGATTTTGTCCCGGTACTCGGTCTCTTTCTACTACAAAAAACACGACCTCAAACCTCCTTAAGCACTTACAACAGCAACACAACAACACAACAACAACAACACAACAACAACAACGTGAAGCTTGTGTAAATAAACCCCACCAACGAGCCCTCTGCGGCCGCAGACGATAGCTGTAGCTCTACAAAACAACCAAGACTGGATTTTAACAGTGGACAGCTACAAGCGAAAAAGAACTAATGAAACGAAAAGTAACATAAGGAGTAATGTAACATGTTACTGTTGACAGGGAGTAATAAAGTAACATCAGGAGTAATGTAACATGTTACTGTTGACAGGGAGTAATAAAGTAACATCAGAAGTAATGTAACATGTTACTGTTGACAGAGAGTGATAAATAAAGTAACATCAGGAGTAATGTAACATGTTACTGTTGACAGAGAGTGATAAATAAAGTAACATAAGGAGTAATGTAACATGTTACTGTTGACAGAGAGTGATAAATAAAGTAACATCAGGAGTAATGTAACATGTTACTGTTGACAGAGTGATAAATAAAGTAACATCAGGAGTAATGTAACATGTTACTGTTGACAGAGTGATAAATAAAGTAACATAAGGAGTAATGTAACATGTTACTGTTGACAGAGTGATAAATAAAGTAACATCAGGAGTAATGTAACATGTTACTGTTGACAGAGTGATAAATAAAGTAACATAAGGAGTAATGTAACATGTTACTGTTGACAGAGTGATAAATAAAGTAACATAAGGAGTAATGTAACATGTTACTGTTGACAGAGTGATAAATAAAGTAACATAAGGAGTAATGTAACATGTTACTGTTGACAGGGAGTGATAAATAAAGTAACATCAGGAGTAATGTAACATGTTACTGTTGACAGGGAGTGATAAATAAAGTAACATCAGGAGTAATGTAACATGTTACTGTTGACAGAGTGATAAATAAAGTAACATCAGGAGTAATGTAACATGTTACTGTTGACAGAGTGATAAATAAAGTAACATCAGGAGTAATGTAACATGTTACTGTTGACAGAGTGATAAATAAAGTAACATCAGGAGTAATGTAACATGTTACTGTTGACAGAGTGATAAATAAAGTAACATCAGGAGTAATGTAACATGTTACTGTTGACAGGGAGTGATAAATAAAGTAACATCAGGAGTAATGTAACATGTTACTGTTGACAGAGTGATAAATAAAGTAACATCAGGAGTAATGTAACATGTTACTGTTGACAGGGAGTGATAAATAAAGTAACATCAGGAGTAATGTAACATGTTACTGTTGACAGGGAGTGATAAATAAAGTAACATCAGGAGTAATGTAACATGTTACTGTTGACAGAGTGATAAATAAAGCAACATCAGGAGTAATGTAACATGTTACTGTTGACAGGGAGTGATAAATAAAGTAACATCAGGAGTAATGTAACATGTTACTGTTGATAGAGTGATAAGTAAAGTAACATCAGGAGTAATGTAACATGTTACTGTTGACAGAGAGTGATAAATAAAGTAACATCAGGAGTAATGTAACATGTTACTGTTGACAGAGTGATAAATAAAGTAACATCAGGAGTAATGTAACATGTTACTGTTGATAGAGTGATAAGTAAAGTAACATCAGGAGTAATGTAACATGTTACTGTTGACAGAGAGTGATAAATAAAGTAACATCAGGAGTAATGTAACATGTTACTGTTGACAAAGTAATAAATAAAGTAACATCAGGAGTAATGTAACATGTTACTGTTGACAAAGTGATAAATAAAGTAACATCAGGAGTAATGTAACATGTTACTGTTGACAAAGTAATAAATAAAGTAACATCAGGAGTAATGTAACATGTTACTGTTGACAAAGTAATAAATAAAGTAACATCAGGAGTAATGTAACATGTTACTGTTGACAGGGAGTGATAAATAAAGTAACATCAGGAGTAATGTAACATGTTACTGTTGACAGGAGTGATAAATAAAGTAACATCAGGAGTAATGTAACATGTTACTGTTGACAGAGTGATAAATAAAGTAACATCAGGAGTAATGTAACATGTTACTGTTGACAGAGTGATAAATAAAGTAACATCAGGAGAAATGTAACATGTTACTGTTGACAGAGTAATAAATAAAGTAACATCAGGAGTAATGTAACATGTTACTGTTGACAGAGTGATAAATAAAGTAACATAAGGATTAATGTAACATGTTACTGTTGACAGGGAGTAATAAATAAAGTAACATAAGGAGTAATGTAACATGTTACTGTTGACAGAGTGATAAATAAAGTAACATAAGGAGTAATGTAACATGTTACTGTTGACAGGGAGTGATAAATAAAGTAACATAAGGAGTAATGTAACATGTTACTGTTGACAGGGAGTAATAAATAAAGTAACATAAGGAGTAATGTAACATGTTACTGTTGACAGGGAGTGATAAATAAAGTAACATAAGGAGTAATGTAACATGTTACTGTTGACAGGGAGTGATAAATAAAGTAACATAAGGAGTAATGTAACATGTTACTGTTGACAGGGAGTGATAAGTAAAGTCATTACATTACTTTGAAAGAGTAACGAGTAATATATTCATTTTTTTCAGTAACGAGCCCAACACTGGTCTGATTACAGTTTCACACAAAGACTAGATATGAACACGCTTACATCACATCCTCCATTTCTGACCTTTTGGCCTTCCGATCACTTAAAGATACTTTTATCATTCAAACAAAACTCAAACCTCGGCCGCAGACTTTGTTGGAGAGGTGGAGAGACCTCGAGAACGGGTAGCGTTAAATGACTTCCAGCAAGGACGTCATTTTTCCCCGTGCGCTACGTTGTTTACAGTCTGATTAGCAGCTTAAGAAACAACCGTGAGTTCAGATCAGAAGTTACGTGACATCCTCCCCTCCGGATGGCTCTGCAGAATTAACGCCGTCGTTTCATTGTTCGACGAGGCTGAGCGCCCGTTCATCAGTTTCCTGTGAGTCTCAGATGAACTGTGATTAATAAGTCGCACAGAGGCGTCACTCTGGGTCACTTCAGTCTGAACCTCTTCATGCTGAGATCTGTTTACAGAGTTAAGTCATCATCGCTGAGTCAGCACGTCGTTACGGAGGATTGTGTTCCTC